GCAGGGAGCCCGATGCGGGACTCGATCCCGGGACTCCAGGATCATGACCTGAGCCGAAGGCAGTCGCTTAACCGACTGAGCCACCCAGGCGCCCTAGAGTGCTGTAGTATGGAAACATAATCTGTTTTCTTGTGCTTTGTCAGCTAACTACAAAGGGTTCTTGGTGTTCATTCATAGAATGTGTGGAATAGTCAGGACTCTGAAGGTATATAACTTTGCTGAGGCACACATTTGTTATATATTAGGAGGTTGATGTGCAGCAGCTAGTTATTTAGCTAGTGGATGAGCCTTCCTCAGGGGCAGTATCTACTTCTCCTTGAAGTTTTGTTCTTTATTCGGTGATGTGTTAATTTCTTGTGTGTGAGGTGGAGTGGAATTGTATGTTATGAAGTGATGTTCCTTAGGTTTTTTGGTTGGACACATGTCTTGGGATTGTTAAGGGTCTACTCTGTTGTTTTGTAATGGAGGGACAGATGCCAAGCCCATTATTGAGAAAACATACATATAGAGAGGGAGAGAGAACTACCCAGTCCCTGGCCATTTTGTAGGTGTTTGGTAAAGGGTGACTATGTTATCATTTTAGGGAATTGTTATTGTTTTGCAAAGTGAATGAAATGCAGTAACACAGTGCAGTGATACTAATAGTTTGAGGAGAGAGAGACTATAGTGATGACAGGAAAATAACAGAATAAACAATTGTCTTAGTATTTGTATATCACTTTATAATTTGTGAAGTATTTAACACTTACTCTATGGAGTATGCATTTTTATATTCAGATGAAGAAACTTGAGTCCAAAAAACAGTCCCAAAGGCCTACGGAAGATCACACAACTCTTACATGGAGAGTCAGGTTTCCTGGTTTCCAGGTTTCAGAATGTTTTCTTTTGTTTACCTGGGACTTGAAATAAGAATGACCCCTCTCTTTTCTGCCATTCTTTCTCATATTGGCTGTTTTCGCTAGGCAAGTTTAGACTGAAAACTTTTTTTTCTTTGTTGAGGACTACTAGTGCCTTATTAGTGCTGTTCTGTCACTTTGATCCTATCATTGTCCTTTGGTGTTGAAGTTAAAGTTTCTTGGGTATACTACTAACTGATCAACTAACTGATCATTTTTCCTGAAGGTAAAATATGCTTTGATCAGTGCCCAACGATGTATGATTTGCCAAGGAGATATTGCTAGGTATCGGGAACAAGCCAATGACACAGCAAACTACGGGAAAGCACGCAGGTACTTTTGCCTCTTGTTCATTGCTTCTCTTTCCTTGCGGCGTTAAGCTAAGCCCTATTAAGAGCAATGGGCCACCCGAGCTGCCTCTCATATGGAAGTCCTACAGGTGCCCCTGTTGGTCTTTGTAATCAGGCTTTACCACTCCAGCGTTACATCTAACACTCCACCTTATGTCTTAAGCAGTTAGAGCTATCAGGTGATGAAATGGGAAAGCATTGATATGGAACTAGCATTTTTTACTGTTTTTCTATTCCAGTTGGTACCTAAAGGCCCAGCATATTGCTCCCAAGAATGGGCGCCCATATAACCAGTTGGCTCTGCTGGCAGTGTATACGGTAAGCAATCCTATGGACAGGGGAAGTATTTTGCAGACAGTATCTTAGAAAGAATGGATTTTGATAGCATCAGCTCCTGGAGCTAGAGTTCCTCTGAACACTAAACCTAAAAAATATCCTTTCCTGCCATCCTCACATTCCTCTTGTTACTTTCAGAGGTAAGTTGTCAGTGATTCTTCATTCCAGTTGAATCTGTACTTCATTCCCTTTCATTGCACTTGAGTTCCTAAAGGAATGCTCATGCTCCAGCCAGACACCACTCTTTGTTTTTGACCAAGGCTTCTGCTCTGAATCTTGTCTTTCTTCCCTTCCCTGTCCTGTTGAATGAGGTTACTCATTTCTAGAAGGAAAATAAGGCTCCCTTTACCACTTTTCCTTAAAGTCCTCAACTAGCCCTAACTAGTGAGATCCTTACTTCCTTTCCCCAGATTATCCCCTTATTCCTCTTAAGTTTTCACTTAATGAGCCTCCTTAGCAGAAGCACTTAGTGCCAAATTGTATCTTCCTAGATCTTACCAAACTCCTCTCAATATGCCTCTAACAGAGAGCCTTGGGAGCAGGTAACAGCCCCTCGTAAGGAAGCTGAATTGAAGGCGGTGGGGAGGTCAATGGTAGGTATCAAAGATTTAAGTATAAAGCAGCTAACATGCTCATTTAGCAGGAAGAGTTTTCATAATGCTATTGCCCGAATACTCAGTGTTTGAGTTAAAATATTTATTCCCCTTTATTCAACAAAAGAGTCAAAGAAATTCCTAACACTTCATGATGGATTGAAATTGTTGATTAAGTAGTGTGGTTGACTGACACACTTCCTTCTACATCTCTAGAATATCTTCATTCACTCCTTCCTTTCTTTCTTTCTTTCTTTCTTTTTTAAGATTTTATTTATTTTTTGACAGAGAGAGACACAGCGAGAGAGGGAACACAAGCAGGGGGAGTGGGAGAGGGAGAAGCAGGCCTCCTGCGGAGCAGGGAGCCCGATGTGGGGCTTGATCCCAGGACCCTGGGATCATGACCTGAGCTAAAGGCAGACACCCAGCGACTGAGCCACCCAGGCGCCCCCACTCTTTCTTTTTTTAGATTTTATTTATTTATTTGAGTGAGAGAGAGAGAGAGATCACCAACAGTGGGGAGGGGTAGAGGGAAAAGCAGACTTCCCACTGAGCAGGGAGCCCGATGCCGGGCTTTATCCTAGGACCCTGGGATCATGACCTGAGCTGAAGGTAGATGCTTAACCGACTGAGCCACCCAGGTGCCCCTCTTCATTCACTCTTTATTTTCTTTAGTACACTAATAGTATTATGCAACTATCAACTCTAAGTCCAAGACGTTTTCATCACCCCAAAAGGAAACCCCATACCCATTACTCTCCATTCCTTCTACCTCCCAGCCTCTGGCAACCACTTAGTCTGCTCTCTGTTTCAGGATATACCTATTGAATGTTTCATATAAATGGAATCATCCAGTATGTGACTTCTTTATGTCTGGCTTCTTGCATTTAGCATAAAGTTTTTGAGGTTCGTTTATGTTGTAGGATGTCTCAGTACTTCATTTTTATGGCCAACTCATATTCCATTGTATGGATATACTATACTTTATTCATTAGTTATTGGACATTTTGGTTTGTTTTCACCTTTTAGCTATTGTGAATAGTGCTTTGTGAAGTACAGGTATTTGAATATCTGTCGTCAGTTCTTCTGAGTCTATACTTATGAGTGGAATTGCTGGGTTATATGGTAATTCCATGTTTAGCCTTTTTTTTGAGATTATTTTAGAGACAGTGTGCATGCTGGTGGGGGGAGGAGCGAAGAGAGAGAGGGAGAGAAACAGACTCCCTGCTGAGCATGGAGCCCAATGCGGGGCTCGATCTCACGACCCTGAGATCATGATCTGAGCCGAAATCAAGAGTCAGACGTTTAACTGACAGCCGGCAGGCGCCCCCATGTTTAACTTTTTAAGGGATCACCAAACTTTTCCATAGAGGCTGCACCTTTTTACATTCCCACCAGCAATGTACAAGGGTTCTAGTTCCTCCATGTTCTCACCAACATTTTCATTTCTTTGATTATGACCCACCCGCACTGTGGGTTTTTTCCCCCCACTTGGGGACTTTTTTTCTTTAGTGTTTTTTTCTTCTTTCCTTCCTTCCTTCCTTCCTTCCTTTCTCTCTCTTTCTTTTCTTCTTTCTTTCCTTCCTTCCTTCCTTCCTTCATTCCTTGTCAGTTTTAAGTTTGCAGAAAAATTAAGCAGAAAGTACAGAGAGTTCCCATATACTCCCTCAACTCCTCTCCCAGTCAATTTTCCCTGTCATTAACATCTTGCATTAGTGTAATACATTTGTTTATTATTGGTGAGCCAGTATTGATACATTATCACTAACTAAAGTTCCTAGTTTACATTAGGGTTCACTTTTGTACAGTCTGTGGATTTGAACAAATCTGTAATGACATGTATTCATCATTACAGTATCATACAGAGTAGTTTCACTGTCCTAAAAATACCCTGTGCTCCACCTCCACCTATTCATCCCTCCTCACTCCTCTGAACCTCTAGTAATCTTAAGTTTTACTGTCTATAGTTTTGCCTTTTCCTGAATGTCATAGTTGGAAACCATACAGTATGTAACCTTTTCAGATTAGCTTGTTTCACTTAGTAATATGCATTTAGGATTACTTTTGTGATGTGACAGCTCTTTTCTTTTTATTGTTGAGTAATATTCCATTGTATGGATGTACCACAGTTTGTTTATTCATTCCCCTATTGAAGGACATCTTGGTTGTTTTCAAGTTTTGGCAGTTATAAATAAAAATGCTGTAAATGTTTGCGTGCAGGTCTTGTGTGGACATAAATTGTCATCTCATTTAGATAAATACCAAGTAATGTGATTGCTGGATTGTATGGTAAGAGTGTATGTAGTTTGGAAGAAATTGCCAGACTGTCTTCCAAAGTGGCTGTGCCATTTTGCATTCCTTCAGGCAGTGGATGAGAGTTCCTGTTGCTCTGCATCCTCATCAGCATTTAGTGTTGTCAGTGTTCTGGATTTTGGTCATTCTATAATAGATGTGTAGTGTTATCTCATTTTAAGTTGCATTTCCCTAATAACATATGACGTGGAGCATCCTTTCATGTGCTTATTTGCCATTTGTGTTTCTTCTTTGGTGAGGTGTCTGTTTTGATCTTTTGCCCATCTTTAAATTGGGTTGTTTTTTTATTGTTGAGTTTTAAGTGTATATTTTGAATATCAGTCCTTTATTATTTATGTGTTTTGTGAATATTTTCTCTGTATGTGGCTTATCTTTTCATTTTCTTAGCACAGAACAAAAGTTTTTAATTTTAATGAAATCCAACTTACCAACTTTTTCTTTTGTGGATTTTGCTTTTAATACCTAAGAACTCCTCACCAAACCCAAGGTTATCTAGATTTTCTCCTGTGTTATCTTCTAGGAGTATAGTTTTACATCTTACATTTAGGTCTGCGATCTAGAAAGGCATAAGGTCTGTGGCATAGATTCATTGTTTTGCATGTCGATGTCCAGTTGTTTCAACACCATTTGTTGAAAAGATCATCCTTTCTCCATCGAATTGTCTTTCCTCCTTTGTCAAAGATCAGCTGGCTGTATTTGTCTGGGTCTATTTCTGGGCTCTCTATTTCATTCCATTGATCTGTTTGTCTGTTCTTTGGCCAGTACCACTATAGTAGCTTAATGGTAAGTCATGAAGTTGGGTAGTTGGGTCTTCCGACCATGTTCTTCTTTGTCAGTATTGTGTAGGCTATTCTGGATCTTTTGCCTTTCCATATAAACTTTAGAATCATTTTGTTGTTATCTATAAATCTATTGACTTTGAAGTAGTATCTCATTGTGGTTTTGATTTGCATTTCCCTAACAACTAATGATGTTGAGCTGCATTATAGGCCATTTGGAGAAATGTCTATATAAATCCTTTGCCTATTTTGTCTTATATTAAAAAATTAAAAAATTTATTTGTAAAATATACATAAGATGAAATTTACCATCTTACCATTTTACATTTACATTGTTTTGCAACTAACCTCCAGAACTCTCTTCATCTTGCAAAACTGAAACTTTATACCCATTAATTAAGCAACTCCCCATTTTCCCCTCCCTCCAACCACTGACAGCCACCCTTCTACTTTCTGTCTCTGAATTTGTCTACTTTAGGTACTTAATATAAGTGGAATCATACAGTCTTTCTTTTTGTGACTGGCTTATTTCACTTAGCATGATATCCTAAAGGTCCATCCATGTTACAGCTTGTGTCAGAATTTCCTCTTTAAGGCTGAATAGCACTCAGTTATATGTATATACCATGTTTTGTTTATCACTTCATCTGTCAGTGCACACTTCCACCTTTTGGCCATTGTGAATAATGCTGCCATGAATGTGAGTGTACAAAAATCTCTTTAAGACTCTGCCTTTAGCTTGGGTCCCAGGGTCCTAGGATCGAGTCCCACATCGGTCTCCTTGCTCAGCGGGGAGCCTGCTTCTCCCTCTGCCTGCTGATCCCCCTGCTTGTGCACTGTCTCTCTCTGTCAAATAAATAAATAAAATCTTAAAAAGAAAGATTTATTTATTTATAATTTGAGAGGACAGAGGGAGAGAATCTTCAAGCCAACTCCCTGCTGAGCACAGAGCCTGATGCAGGGCTTGATCTCACGACCCATGAGATCATGACCTGAGCGGAAACCAAGAATTGGACATTTAACCGACTTAGCTGCCCAGGTGCCCCTCTTTTAAGAGTTTTTATAGTTTTTATATTTAGATCTTTGGCCCATTTTTCATTAAGTAAATGGTGTGAAATATGGGCCCAGCTTCATTCTTTTGCATGTGGATATCCAGTTCTAGTACCATTTGTTGAAGAGGCTGTTCTTTCCCCATTGACTAGTCTTGGGATCCTTGTTGTAACTCAGTTGGTGCCTGGATTTATTTCTGGACTCTCAGTTCTCGTCCATGGATCCATATATGTCTACCCTTATGCCAGCACCTTATTGTTTTAATTACTATAGCTTTGTGGTAAATTTTGAAACCAGGATATATGAGTTTTCCACCTTTGTTCTTTTTTAAGATGAGTTTGGCTGTTTGGGGTTTCTTGTAATTCCATATGGATTTTAGGATCAGCTTTTTCATTTCTGCAAAAAGAGTCACTGGGATTTTCATAAGAATTACATTGTGTAGTTGCTTTGGGGAGTATTTACACAGATGTTTTTGATTTATTTAGGTCTTCTTTAGTTTCTTTCAGACGTGTTTTATAATTTTCAGTATATAAGTTTTACACTTCCTTGGTTAAACTTATTCCTAAGTATGTTATTCTTTTTGATGCTGTTGTAAATGGAATTATTTTCTTAATTTCTTTTAAAGATTGTTTATTACTAATATATAGAAATATAACTGATTTTTGAGCATTGATCATAATATCTTACAACTTCACTGAATTCCCTCTGTGGCTTTTTGCCATTCTGATTAAATTGGTATATTTTTCTTTCATAGACCTCTGACCTAAATTAGTGGTCCTTTCAAGCTCTTTTCCTCTGTCCCTCTTTTTCTGTCTCCCTTTTATCCTAGTTGTCTTTTAATATCACTTTCTTAATTTTCTGTTTCCTCCAGTCAGTCATTCAGTGAATCTCAAGAATTCAGTGAGAACATGTTTGTGCACAGCGCTTTGCTAGGTGCTGTGAGTGATGAATATGTGATATGTTTTCTGCTCTGAAAATGTGTTGAGAAGACAAGTGAGGTGTGTAGACAGTGATAGAAATTAGACGTCATGAAATTTGATGCAATTGATTAGATGTGCCATTATTTTCTGGACCATTAAGAAAGAATATGTGAATTATAAATAGGATATAATGGTAGATATTGATTGTAAGTTCTGTCTTGATTTCAGAAATGTTAAAATATGAAAAAATCATTGTAGAATCGACGAAACGCAATCTAAAATCAAGTGAGTGGTATAGGCTGAGATCAGTACAGATTGGGATAATATTAAAAATAGCCCCCATTAGGGGTGCCTGTCTGGCTCAGTCAGTAGAGTGTGTGATTGTTGATCTCAGGGTTGTGAGTTTGAGCCCCAAGGCGGTGTAGTAGAGATTACTTAAAAATAAAATCTTAAAAAATAAGAAAGAAAAAAGTAGCCCCCATTTAACTGACTGTAACAGTATATCAGATAATCTGTTAAACTGTATGTGTTATATGAATTTTATTCATTTTAGGAGCCATATATGTATAAATATCTTCTAATAAATATCTACCTAATAAGTGGCAGGACCTAATTCAAACTCAGGCAGTTGACCTTAGAATGTGTACCTTTAACCATGCTAGCTGAATAGAAGATGCGAGGTTTTTTGTTGTTGTTGTTGTTTTTAAGATTTAAGTTTTGAAGAATGAGTTACAGGGGTGAGAGAGAAGTTAGTGTTCTAAATGCATTTTGAGACAGCTAGAAAAAAAGGAAAAAATATATATGAAGTTGGAGAAAGGCTTTTTGACATTCTTTCCCCCTTTGTTTCAGTGTTTTTCTTTCTCCTTTCTGATCTTCTCCCTTTCTTTTACTTCTTTTCCTTATTAATTGGTTGTGAAACAAACTTGAAGTATTTATTTGCTGAATTCATTGGATAATAGTTTATAGTTCCCTTTCTGTGCAGAATCAGTGTGGTATAGGGCAAACCTGAACTCAGGAGCCAGACAGACCTAGGTTTATATACTGGCATACCCAGGATTTGTCTTGGAGGCCTTGATGGACAAGTTATGTTGTTGGACAACAATCTTCCTGGGCTCCCCTTTCTTCATCTTTGAAATGGGACTAATAATGCCTATGGGGCAGTGTTCTTAGGTTTAGGAGTAAAATCTGTGAAGTGATGGTCACTTGTCTCACTGTGCTTAATCATTGATATTGCCATTGTTACTTATAATTTTTTTTAGCTAATAACTAGTGAGTTGAACATTTTCTTTCTCTAAAAACAAAATTGGATTTTATATTTGATGAGGCTCTTTATTCTTTTCTCCCTCTTGTGAGTACTTGGCTCTTAGAGTACCTCCACATGTAAATCAGAGTCCTGTGCCAGGAGAGATCCCTGACGTAATTGCCGTGGTTCATCCCATGGATAGCATTCTGATTTTCTTATTGGAATTCCTTATAGCCTGGGAGAGATAGTAAGGTTTTCTAGGTCAGCTGACTCAGGCTGGAGTCAGGAAGAGAACTGGTTGACTTGATGTCTCTGGCCTCTTTCTGCAGAGGAGGAAGCTTGATGCTGTCTATTACTATATGCGCAGTTTAGCTGCCAGCAACCCTATCCTGACTGCCAAGGAGAGTCTCATGAGCTTGTTTGAGGAGACCAAACGAAAGGTGAGTGGGGATGCAGGCAGACTCATTCCTTCCTAAAAGAATGTGCTTCTCTTAGTGCTTCCGTGTCCTCAGAGGAATGCCTTATAATGCCCTCAGGGGGTCCCATTGGGCTGTGCTTGTAAGTCAGTCAGCCCCTTTGCAGAACCAAACTCATCGTTAGGAGAGTTCTCCAGGGCCTTTGGGTGTGCATCTAGATTATGGAATTAATAACTTCTGTGAGACAAAGCAGATAATACTTTGCTACTTAGGGACTATAGAAAAGTCTTTATTTTTTATAGCCCCTGGGCAACAAACTCAAGATGAGGTGAGTGCCTCTTTTTATTAGTTGACTCCCAGGAGAGTCTGAGCTTGTGTGTTTGTATGTTGTACAGGCAGAGCAGATGGAAAAAAAGCAACACGAGGAATTGGAACTGAGCCCTGACCAATGGCGGAAAGGAAAGAAGTCTACTTTCCGGCATGTTGGAGATGACACCACTCGCTTAGAGATCTGGATCCATCCATCACATCCCCGGTCCTCCCAGGGCACTGAATCTGGGAAGGATTCTGAGCAGGAGAATGGGCTGGGCAGCCTGAGCCCAAGTGATGTAAGTTCCTGAGGGTGATATAATGATCAAGACTAGCTAAGTAAAAGTGGATGCCCCAGTACATGCAACTGAGAGGCACTGCACAGACATTTCCCATGAATCCCGGGGAAGGTTAATCACTTCAGGCTTTCTGACGTCCTCCTCTTTCTCCTCCAGCTTCACTTCATCTTTATTATATGCTTCCCTCTCTCACCACTATGTGGCACTGTAGAATTTAGTAAAACTAGTTTTTCTAAAGGAAGATCTACTTAGTGTAGATGAGAATTTTTTGCTGCTTTGGGTTTAGAGTTACCAATATGATGCTTTAGGATTCTGTAGGGATTTTGTGAAGCTAGTAGGAGAGAGAGCATAGTAGGAAAACTGCAGATGGCTGGTTCATTGTCCTTTGAGAGTAAAATTCCTAGTGGAGTGGATGGTGGGGTGACCTGGGACCACATCTTGAAGGGTTACGCAGTAAATAATTTGACCTTTATCCTGAAGGTAGTAGGGAACTATTGAATGCTTTAAATAAGGAAGTAACTTGTCAGATACACATTTTAGAAATATAACTCTGGCTGCTTTGTGAAAAGTTTGGAGAAGGGTAAGACTAGAAATAGGAAGAGTAGGAGGGGTACTACAATAATCCAAGTATGATATGGGGAGGACCTGAACCAGGAAATGGCTTTGGAGATGGGGAGAAGTGAACAAATATGAGGTATATTAATGAGGTAGAATCCAAAGGACTTGAGTGGACAGGGGGAGCTGAAGGACAAGAGGAAATCAAAAGTAACATCTACCTAGGTGTTTCTGGGTTGGAAACTGAATGAATGCTGGTCTATTCCTTGAGATAGGGAATAGAGGTAGAATTGGTTTTAGGAGAAAAATGAGGAGTTTAGTTTCGACATGTTAGAATTTCTATAGGACATTGAAGAGAGATTTAAAGGCTATCTTATCTGAAGCTGGGGAGAGCATTCTGGATTAGAGATGAAGATATTTGAAGGCATCCTCTTATAGATGGAATTGAAGTCATGAGAGTTGATTCAGTCACTCGAGAAAAAAACAATGAGAAGTAGGTTGAAGATCTAAGAGAGAAAGGAGATAGATGGCGGGCAGGGAGAGGTCCTTGCAGAGGTTTGGAAGGGAGAGGAATCTGGAGCACAAGTTTACGGATTAGCCTGAATGAGGGTGAGAGATCCCTCTTTCTTATGCTTGAGGGAAAGGAACAGGTAATAGGGGGTCAGGTAAGTTGGTGGGAATTGTAGGAGGAAGATGAGGGAGGGCCTTTTTGATGTTTTCTTTTTTCTTTTTGAAGTTGGAGACATGGTTGTCTGCTAAGAATGAATCGAAGGTGGTGGGATAGGAGGACTTCCTTGGGGTTTAATTTAAAATTTCCATTTCTCTGGGGCACCTGGGCAGCTCATTCGGTTGATTGCCCAACTCCTGGTTCCTGCTCAGGCCATGATCTCAGGGTTGTGGGATCAAGCCCCGCATTGGGCTCTGTGCTCACCACGAGTCTGCTTGTCCCACTCCCTGTGCTCTGTCCCCGACTCTCTTTAAAATAAATAAATAAAATCTTTAAAAAAAAAATAAAATTTCCACTTCTCTTCCTTTATCCTTTTTAGTCTTTAGCTGTTTTCTGCATGACTTGGAAGTAGTCATTACTTATAAATGAAACTTCCAATTTGCCATGTGCCATGGTTTGCATGGGGTGCTTCAGAGGAGTTGCCTCTATGGTAGACTCTCTCACTGCTGCACTCTCCCAGTTTGGATATTGCAGCCCCAAATGGGAAGCCTATTTGAATAAGAGAGAAATTGTTCTATTGGGTTAGCTCCACTGTCTGTCTCTAAAATGAAAGCAACAGGGGCTCGTGGGTATCTCAGGCAGTTGAGTGTGGACTCTTGGTTTTGGCTCAGGTCATGATCTCAGGGCCCACACCGGGCTTCACGATTAGCAGAGAGTCTCCCCCTCCCCCTGTGCTCTTGTATTTCTCTCTGTCTCTCAAATAAATAAATATTTTAAGTAAATAAATAAAATGCGGGTAGCAACAATTTGAGAAAGCATTTTATGGCTTTCTTTGACCTTCACCTCAAGGTTAGGGAGTATCCTTCATAAGAGTTAAGGTTATAACTAATATCCTATAGATCTCTTCCATTAGATATTTCATTGATTTTTAAGTAATGTGTTTATAAGTCTGTATTTATTTATTTTTTAATATTTTATTTGAGAGTGAGCACGAGTGGGGTAGGGGGACAGAGGGGCAGTGGGAGAAGTAGGCTCCCTCCTGAGCAGGGAGCCCAATGCAGGACTGGCTCCCAGGACCCCGAGATCATGACCTGAGCTGAAGGCAGACGCTTAACCAACTGAGCCACCCAGGCGTCCCTAAGTCTGTGTTTTTATTCTTATTTGCATCTCAGAGAATGCATTTTCAGCATATGGGCTGTCATTAGATCTGTTAATTTTTATTAATTTTATTAGTAAATTAATTATTAGTTTTATTAATTTTAATAATTATTTTTAATCATACAAATAATATATGGGTATGTTTTTGGTAGAAATTTCAAATAATTAGAGATATATACAGAGGAAAATGGTCATTTCTTTTTTAAACTGTTTGTGAAGCTGTTTTTATATTTTCAGCCTAATCATCATCCACCCAGGTGCCCCTATAGTTTGCTTTTCTAAGTTATGAATTGGACATACAGTCAGTTCTGTTACAATGTTATAACACACAGAGTCCTAAAAATCACTGTGCTTTGTAAAACTGCACGGAAAAAAAGCCACAGAGCTTTTGGGCAAGATGGGGTTAGGGGCACAACACTCAAAAATATCCGTAGTGACTTATTAAAAGATATGAACCTAAGACAGTTGTGCAATTTTATACATGTCCATTGGTTAAGAAATACATAAATACTATTTTGGAAAAGAAATGAACTTTAGAAGCGGGCTTTAGGAGGATTGCAGCTTGAGTGTTATGGTGAAGTGGTGGAAGGAGGGTTATTTGAAATTGGATGGATAGATGTAACACCAGATGTGGATCGGTGTGGCTTAGAACGAGTTCACATGGTGAACTGCGGTAGCTGGTAGATATTTGGAAAGTGTGTGTGTTTTCTGTTTCTGTGTAGCTCAGTTCAACCCAGTGCAGTTTTCTGTGTTCACTCAGTGTATCAAATGAACAAAATCACGTATAAGGAGATGCAAAATTTGTGCTATGCTCAAATTGTTCCCCAGTATATTTATCACAATGAAACAAATAGATATTTTCGAAACAAGGATTATAGTAGAACTAACTATATTTCCACTTGTCTAAGACTATCTTTTTTTGGTATGTTCTTAGTATGATTGATATTTCATTATAAGGGTATATGTCATTTGTTTGCTTTATCTGTGTAATTTATATATTTGCTGTGCATGCTTGTTCATTTTGGTTGTCTTTTTTGGGTGATTAGCCTTACCAGGAATTGCTCCTTTGACAATTCCTAGAGAGTTTCTAGCACAAACTACTAAAATTCACATCCATGAATAAGAAGCAGAAAGTTTGGCTTCAGGTGGTTGTTAGTAATGATAGTAGAGTCCCAACTAGTTTGTTTTCTCTCTGCCAAGCACAAGCTTTGGATCTCTCTCTGAATGGCTACAGGAGGTTAGCTTGTGGGTTGTTGGTTTTCAGCCTTGAGATGTGGTTTGGGTTGAACACGCTACCTGGGGAGGGACTGCCAACCTCAACTGTAAGTGGCATCCTTTTAAACTATTGAGACTCATATTTAAATTCTACCCCTGCTAGCTAGGCTACTCAAATTCAATGTTACCAGGGCCACGAGCATTCTTTATGTAGTGGGTGTGCCTTCTGCTGTACCTCAGCTCCCTTTGGAAATCAGAAAAGGGTTTCCGCTTAGCAAATGAGTTTTTACAGATAGTGAGTTAATTAAGGAGATGATAGCATCAGAAACAGTTTTCACACTGAGAGGCCAGGGTCTCTGATGAAACTGCTCTGTTTATATCTTTTTTTTTTTTTAAAGATTTTATTTATTTA